TTTGATGGTATCCCACATGAACCTTAGGCTTTCTTCATTTTGTTTTGATCTTTTTTCTGATTGATCCCTTTCCAAAGAAGTATTCAGGCATTTGTCTTCAATCTCATTAATTCTGTTTCCCGTTGATTTGATTCTACTTCTTTGCCTTTTTGATGTGTTACCCATTTCTGATAATTTAGTATCAATCTTCTGGATTTCTATCTGTAGATTTTGTATCATTTCTAATTTTTCATTTATTTTGTCATTTTGTTCTTATATTTTCTTCTAAAATTGTGCTAGGTTTTTCTGTGTTTCCCCTAATTTTGTCAGTGTTTTCCTTGGTCTGTCTCTCAATCCTTTGAAGATACCTAAATATAATTCTTTTGAATTCCTTATCAGGAAATTCCAATGCTGCTTCCTCCTTAGGTATGTGTTCTGGGTCTGTATCCTGCTCCCTTGTTTCTACCACTTTATCTTGCTTCTTTGTGTGGACAGTGATGGTCTGTTGTCTCCAAGACATTGTGACATTGTGGTATTTAGATCTCTGCTAACTGTTTGTGAAGAGCAGTTAATGGTGAAGTAGGCTCTTCTTGATGGTCATTTATCATTGGTCAGTTGGTAGAGAAGTTAAGTGGTGGCTCTCACTCAGTAAGTGGAGCTCCAGGAGGTGGGATGTGGTTGGTCATATGGCCATGGTTACTATCTCCTAGTCAGTTAGACAAAAGCAACAATCAAGAAACCATCAAAAAATAAAAGCAAGTGGACAAAAAACACACCACACAAATACACAGGAACAATCACTGAAAAAAGAAAAGAAAGAAAGAAAAAAATCCCCACAATCTGGGGAGGAGGCAATAAGAGAAAAGAGGTAGAGTAGGAGAATAATGGGTTTAAAAAAATGGATGAAATACAAAAAGAAAAACAAGGAGTGGGGTTAACCACGAGAAAGAAGAAAATGGGAACCAGGAACAGGGAAGAGAGAAGAAGCTGAAAACTTAAACCTGGGAAGGGAAGAATCAAGAATAATAATGAAAAAGATGAAGAACAACAACAAAAGAATAATAATAATAATAGTAATAATTTCAAAGCAGACAAAAACAAGCAAACTGAAAAAAAGGAAAAAAAAAAAAAATCTGGGCTGGCAGGCAGGGAACCCAGGCTCTCTCCGAGCACACAGAATGGATGGAATTCCTGCCAGAATTCTGGGCAGAAGGTGGATACGAGTGAGGGATGACCACACCTCTGTTCACCAAGAGGGTATGGGGTATAAGAGTAACAATGGGAATATCACACCTTTCCAGTCATTGGTGTTCAGAATGTCCTTGCAGTTCCCAGCAAGTGGAGACTATTCTTAGGTCCCTGAAATCTGGGAGAATGATGTCTCTTTAAATATCCAAAATGGTCAAACTGCTTGTAAACATTCAAAATGACTGCACCCTCTGGACAGGCAAAAGTCCAGAGCTCAGCCCGTCTCCCTCTTCGCTGCTTCCCCTTCTATTCACCAGCCACTAGTGTAGTCTTCCATGCAGCCACCTGGCTAGCAGCACTGACTTTTAGGTTAATTCTTAGGTCCTAATACCACTTGGCAATCTCCAGGCTGTCTGTGTTGTCAGGATCACTGACAGACTGAAGCTCCGTATATCTTCTTTTTCAGTGTTTTCATGCAGATTCTTCTACTAGCTGGAGTAGAGTCCACTTCTGTATCCTTCCTTTCAAAGCTCAGAGCTCCAGGATTGTCTTCTGTATATGTATTAATTGATTCCCATTTTCTTTTTGAAGAGGGCCTCTGTAGTTTGTCTGCCTATTCCACCATCTTATCAGAACCTCCTCCAGCCCCCAACATGAGTTGTAAAGTTGCTAGAGCAGCGCAACTAAGCCTATACTGACATTTCCCTCCTTAGTATTTAACAAGTAACACCCCTTGGCTCTGTTGGCATAGTGCCTAAGGCATTTGATTGCTAAGTAGAAGGCTGGAAGTTCAAACCCACCAGCCACTCCTCAGAAGGAAGATTTGACAATCTACTTCCGTAGAGTTAACACCTCAGAAACCCAAGGAGGGGTCGCTATGAGTCAGATTTGACTCAACCAGAATGAGGTTTTGTTTCTTTGTTTGTTTGTTTGTTTATTATCCCTTGGCCAGTGGAAATCAGGTGGCATGACTCTAACTTGACTTGGATCCTAACTGTGATCCTGGAAAAATCAGAAATGTTGTTTGAATGAAAAATATTGACCATCTCTTCTAGAAAAAAATTCTGTGATTTTCAAAGCCTGTGTTAATATTTGATGAATTTAAGGAAAACAAAGCCTTCTTATCTATTTGGAGGTATATAGTTAAAACCCATATTGCCATTTAATTTTTTAAAATAGATTCTGTATAATAAATTGCTGCCTGTATTAGCACTACTATTACTGATGTCAGATGGGTCTTGGCTGAAAGCAAAGATTACCAGAAAGATGTTTACTTTGTTTTCCTGACTATGCAAAAGCATTCAACTGTGTGAATCATAACAAATTATGGATACCATTGTGAAGAATCAGAATTCCAGAACATTAAATTGTGTTCATGAGGAACCTGTACATAAACCAGGAGGCTGTCATTCAAACAAAACAAGGGATATACTGCATGGTTTAAAATCAGGAAGGGAGTGCATCAGGGTGGTATCCTTTCACCATACTTATTCAATCTGTGTGCTGACCAGATAATCTGAGAAGCTGGACTATATGAAGAAGAACATGGCATCAGGATTGGAGGAAGACTGATCAACAACCTGCGATATACAGATGACACAACCTTGCTTGCTGAAAGTGAAGATGACTTGAAGCACTTACTGATAAAGATTAAAGACTACAGTCTGCAGTATGGATTATACCTCATCATAAAGAAAATGAAAATCCTCACAACTGGATCAATGAGCAGCATCACGATAAATAGAGACAAGACTGAAGATGTCAAAGATTTCATATTGCTTGGTTCCACAATCAACATCAATGAAAACAGCAATCAAGAAATCAGACAACATATTTCACTGGGCAAATCTACTGCAAATGACCTTGTTGAAGTGCTGAACAGCTGTTTGAAGACTAAGGTACACCTGACCCAAGCCATGGTATTTTCAATAGCCTCATATGCATGTGAAAGCTGGACAGTGAATAAAGAAGACTGAAGAAGAGTTGATGCTTTTGAGTTGTGATGTTGACAAAGACTACTGAAAGCATCATGGACTGTCAGAAGAAGGAACAAATCTGTCTTGCAATAACTGCATCCAGAATGCTCCTTAAAAGTGAAAATGGCTAGACGTTATCTCACCTACTTTGGTCATGTTGTCAGGAGGGACCATTCCCTGGAGAAGGATATCATACTTGGTAAAACAGAGGGTCAGCAAAGAAGGGGAAGACCCTCAATGAGATGGATTGACACATTGGCTGCAGCAATGGGCTCAGGTATAGCAAGGATTGTAAGGCTAGTGCAGGACTGGGCAGTGTTTCGTTCTGTTGTACATAGGGTCACTATGAGTCAGAGCCAACTCGACGGCACCTAATGACAACAACATT